CGCTTAATTTCTGACCCTTAACGCCAGCTGTGCAAGCAGTGACAGTGGGTGCATTGCTCGCCTCTCAGCGGCTCGATGGCAGGACCATGCCGCAGACTCGGAAGTGAGGAAGCCAAAGGACTGGGAGGCCTGCGGCCTGGGACCCGAAAGCCTCGGCCCTCTCTCCAATGTTGTTCTCGCTGTTTTTATGAACTGTGAGTGTGAGCCACTGCCGCAGTGACGCTCTGCCTTGGCTTGCTGTTATGGTCGAAATTGTGGTTGGCACGTTGTGGTCCGTGCAGGCTGCCCTCTCATCTGTTGAATTTTCTGGTCCAGCTGTCACGGCAGCTTCTGTCTCGCTTTAGCACAGTCGCCTGGCATTTTCCTCTACTGCTTAGTTTCTCCAACACTGTCGTCGTTTTTAGGATTTCCTCCAGAACTTCTGCGGTCCTGGCCGCGTCAGCCTCTATAGAAGTCAGTGAAGCAGTTAAGCAATCCTTTGGCCGGCCGAGCCATCCTTTCATGGCACCCGCCCCCCCCCCCCCCAAGCGGAAACAACAGCAACCTTCAGATCGTAGCCTTGATAGCCTTGTAGCCCCCTAAACCCTAAACCCTTAACCCTAAACCCTAAACCCTTGTAGCCCATGTCTCAGGAGCCCACAACCAGGCTCCCGATGCCGACGCCCCTCATGGCGGCCACCGCCTCGGCACGACGCGCAGCGCCCCCTTCGGTGGTGGATGCCCCAAAGATGGAGGAGGCCGATTCGGGGAGCCGTGTCCCAGGTGTGATCGATACTTGCAGGTCTGTCGTGTTGTCCAGGCGTCGCAAGAGCCAGCAGGCAAACCCTTGCTTGCGCCGGAGCCGCATCTGCGAGTCCAGACTCGAGATGTGGGGAAGCTCAAGGAAAGCGGGTTAAGGGTGGACCCTTTGCGTTTCTTGTCAAGTTTAGAAACTCACGAATCCATGGTCCATGATGTCCGAGCCTTGAAGAAAGCTCGCCCAAGGTGTGAAGAAGACGGTTTTGATGAGTAGCTGTGTACCTCTGCCTTCTTGCCATTCGGAGGTTGCTGTGCTGCATGCAGGAACTGCGGGAGTTCTGGGGCAACAAGAGCTCGAAAGGTTTTGCAGGTCCTGGTCTAACTGGATCCAGGTCGGGTTCTCAGCCCCGTTTCGACCATGCGTGCGGGATATTGCAGGATGATGCTTGCCGCTTCTTTGCCGTGTTTGCACATCGCTACTTGGAGCTCCAGTGCTGCAACTTCGCACGCCCAATCTGTGCAGGCTCTCGAAAAACGAAGCCCAAGCGACCTTGCAAAGACTCCTCATCGCAGGCGAGCGGCGAGCTTTTAGTCGAAGCCCGACTTCGTTGCCAAAAGCAAGTTCAGGGTATTGTGCAATTCAATCGCAAAGCGACGACACTCACACTTCCTCGCTGGAGACTTGCACTGATCCGCCCACCCGTGTGAGGTGGAGATTTCGATGAGGTTCGAAAGCTTCGAAAGATTATTGCTGAGTTGGATTCAACATGATGCCACTTGGCTTCTCCCCCCCTCTTCCGCTCCCTCCATCCCTCCCTACTTGTCTCGGCCGCGTGGATGTCAAGTACAGGAATTGTTCGTGAAGCCAGCTTTGCCAGGTCCTGTTCTTCAACCTCAGCCACTCTTGGTCATCGCAGCTGCGTGGGCCCTTGGACGAGAACGGCTTGCTCATGTCAAAACATGCAAGCGGACTTTTCCAAAGGTTGTCTGTGTAGTCAATGTGAACGTAGTACGCCTCGGCCTGTCTTTTGATCAGCTAGCTGTACTGGCTGGCGTAGTCTGCGGCCATTCTACGACCACCAGGTGTCATCAGCAGAAGGCATACTCTCACAATTGGTTTTCTCAAGGACAGAGGCCGGGTTGCCGTTTAGATGTTCAAGGAATGAGCGAAGCGGTCAAACGACCCGTTCGGTGGTTTTGTCTCCAATTCAATGCACGTGCGTCGGGCATGTGGAGGCTCTGCGGAGGCTGTTTCTCGTAGCATCGTAGCTAGATCAACAGGACCATTCAAGCACTTCCGGATCGCTCCCTGCAGACACTCATGCCTGAGCTCAGTAGCTTTTCCATCTCGGCACAATGGCGCTTGCGACTTCAGAAAAGCTCGCAGCTTGCACGTGTCGTGGGACAGCGGTACAAACAGCGCGCGCATTCAACTCGCAGCAGGGCAACTGCTTCTCGGTGAACGCCGGCCCTGCCTGGGCCAGCTCCTCAGCGAGTGCGGCGAAGCGCTACCTGCTCCCAAGCAGCGGCTTTGAAGCGCCTGCAAGTCCACCTCCACCGGGGTCTTCTGTGTGTTCTGTGCAGGCTGGGATGCAGGCACATGCCGCCGCAGGTCCCAGGCGCGTCTGATTCGGTGGTGCGGGGCCTTGTGGGAGAGTGGTGCTCGACATGCTCATGAGCGCAGGCAACACGGCTTGGAGTCCCAAGCAGGCCTTCCGTGAGTCCAGCAGCAAGAGCTCCAGGATGTAGCATGCAGTCTCTCACTCTGCAAGATATGATTGGCAGCACCAAGCAGAGCATGTCAACAGAATGTGTCAGGCATGGCTGGATTCCCAGGTGTCGGTATGCCTGACTCTCAGGGAAGAGCATGCGGAACAGCAGGCAGAGATCTCCATCTCACTTGTCCTCAAGTTTCGCCTATTTCATTGGCAGCATGTGGCAGTCTTCTCGCAATTTTCCAAACCTTTCTCGTTTCGGATTCGTACCTGTTGTTGCCAGGCCATTTCGTCCGATGGGTACAGCAAGCTCCGGGATAAGCCCCGTTCCCATGCTGCCAAGAAGCAATTGGGAAAGCATTGACGTGCTGTCACTGTGTTGTAGTCACAAACGCCGCAGCTTCGCGGTTCCTACCCTTCAAGGTTTTGTCTATAGAGTCATAATTTTCAGGGGAGTATAAAATATGTTGTTGTTTTTTGTTTTTTTTGTATTTTTTTTCTGGTGCCGCTTCCCTGAGCAGCTGCTGCTGCTACAACTACTACCTGCTACTACCGCGTACTACTACTACTACTACTACTACTACTGCTACTACTACTACTACTACCGCGTACTACTACTACCGCGTACTACTACTACTACTACTACTACTACTACTCTTCTGCTGCTGCTGCTGCTACTACTACTGCTGCTGCTGCTGCTGCTACTACTACTACTACTAGTACTAAGTACCACTATTGTCACAGTTCCGGCCAGTCCTTTGTCTTTTCGAGTGCCGAGCAGCGCGGGAAAAAATCCAAAAAGAACGCACTTAAATTCCCAGATGAATTCCCTCGCCGTAGCAATTTTGCAGGTCTGCGCTCACTCTTGCAGTTGCTGCCGCCACGGCCATGCTGCAGCTGCGGTTGCTGTTGTCTTGGACGCGGTTCATCCGAGGTTTCAGCCAGGGCCGCCAGGTCCAGGCCGGCAGCGCTTCAGCGACGCTCAGTGCCCCTAGGGCCCCTATGTCCTTACTCTTTTTGGGAAGCTCCGAGGACTCGAACGATCTCGCGGGGTTCGCCAATGATGAATTTCCTTTGTGGCTTTGGGCAGTTCGGGAGTTCAATCCCTCAAACTGCTTTCTGCCGACAGGCAAGAAGTGATGGATGCTAGCCGATGAATCTTGGCAAGAGTTTCAATGTGCAATGTAGGTAGGTTAGGTAGATTTAGGTTTTGTAGCCTCTCGCCTAGAAGGCAATGCCTTCAAACTCCTCGGCGCGATTCGACAGAACAGCATGTGGCAACGCTTCCAATTCAGGATGTGGCTCGTTTCAAGTACTTGTTTGTTTGCAAATAGATGATATCGCATGACCTGTTTGGGCGTCTGCTGCTGTCTCAAAATGCCGTCTCAGGGAGGGCAGCATGATGTGTGCATGGACGCCACCCGCAGAAGTATTGGGGAAATCGCACAGTGCAACAGCAATGCCTATTGTTCAAAATGTTTTTAGTGGCATGGTACCTACACGCCGAACAGAACAGCATATCAGCCAAGCTGAACAAGAGCAACCGATATCACCTAGCCAGAGAGCCGTAGCTTCTTTACTTCAGTCGCAACCTGGCTGTCAAAGGAGGAGGCCTGAGCCTCGCAGCGATGATTGCTACGTGCTGCTTAGAATTGCTGTGACTGAGTGTATGAATGCACAGGCTTGAAGTTGTGCATGCGCGTGCTTATACAGATGCACACATATACCATCTACCGATATACCCACACCCCCTTGCACATGTACACATCATGCACGCACACTCTATCATACACCTCCCGTATCCGACTCTCACGATCTTGCGCGTATGCGTGCACTCCGTTTCTATACACGCAAGAACATGGACGGGGCGCACAAAGCTGGCATTGCACGCCCGCGAAAGCGAAGGCAAATAGACTAGACACACACGCAACACGGAACCCAAGAGGCACAGGAGTCACGAGGGAGCAGCACCAACAAAAGCAGCAGAAAACGCAACATTGAGTTGGCAGGAGAAAGGCGGAGCCCTGCAGCACCTTTCCTTGTCCCGTATCTGACTGCAGAAAGAGCCGACTCCTTCTTGCGGGGGATCGGGCGAGCTTGCCATAAACCTCTTTCCATGTTGAACCATCGAAGGCAAGAAGCACAGTAGTCGCGATGCACCGTCTGCTTCACTGTGCAGAGACGGAAAGAGAAACCAGGAGCCGCGATTCTCCATGAGGCGGGCATGAGGGCATGTGCACTACAGCCCCTCCTCAAAAAAAATGATTCTCCAAACATCTCCAAGCACCAGGTGAGGGGCCGAGCAGTACGTATCGAAGATAATTATATGATCTGAACAAGTGCAGTGAAAGGAATCCAGGAACTAGGGGCACAATGCCGTTGGCATTCTTGAAGCATTTGTGCTAGATCGCTGCATCTACAGTCTTCTTGTGCCATTGCTGAAGCCGAAAGGCAGAGTCCGTATCATCACACACGCAGTGAGTTTTCCCGAATCCCCGCTTCTTCCAAGGGGCCATGGGCCCCTACGGCCGGCGACACGCCGACAGCTGGATGCTGAGTGGGTTTTGCAGGTGCAACTTAGTCCTCAACAACATGAGGGTCCAAACGCGCACGCAGTTGTCGCCACAATCCAACATCTTCCATCGATGTGGAGTTTCATCCGAAGTCCGTGATCGTCATTGCGCTGGAAGTGGTGGTGCTTGTTGGAGAGCGACGAGCGGCCCGGGAAAGCAGAAGCTTCGTGGCTTCCAGCATGCAGGCAAAACAAGCCGCAGTCAACAGCACGGAACATTCACACGCTGCAGTCTCGCTGCGGCCAGGGTTGGTCAGGAGTGTATATGTTCTGTGTGGTGCAGCGCTGTTGTACAGCGAGCACTTTGGCTCGGACTAGGAAGTCTCCATGGTTTCCATGAGTGATGAAGGAAAATCGTATGCTTCTGAGGAGGCCGGCAAACCTTGCGAGGCTCTTCCCGGAGAGCAAACTCTTCACCGGAGGCGTGCAAATTCCTGCGAGAGATTTGAGCTCCGCAAGGTACCGTCTTTGTGTGCACATGCGCTTTGTGTGTGTGTGTGTGTGTTCAAACGTGTGCGAGCATAGAAGTTCTGGAGCAGATCTGTCTGACTTCTGAGAAGCGTCGTGCAGGCTTCCCGGCCAGAGGATCGAGAGCGGCGGCCAACTCCTGCTCAGGCCTCCTCGGTCTGCCCACGGCCTCGAAGTTGACTTCAAAGCGTCCAGCAGGCCAGAGTCAGCAGGGAGGACTCCTGGAGGCATGGTGATGCAGCCGGTACCCGAGACATCCAGAGAAAGCAGGGATCTGCATTTGCTGCGTTTCCCTATTGTTGCCTCTGAGCGTCGAACATGTTGAATACCATTCAGTCGTGGCGTGGCCGGGAAGACTTCGACGAGCGAGGCCGCAACGGACTTCGACTGGGACTCGCTCAGCATGTCAAGTGCACTGAGAGCATCTGGGAGCCATGGAGGCCAATCCATACGGCTACACCCAAGCGAGAGCCAGCCTCCCAGAAGCTTGAAACCAGAATTTATGGTACCTGTTGTGGGGTTAACCCTTCAACCCCTTCAAACCGCACGTCTTGCTTGCCAGGTAAGTGGTACGACTCTGATGGCTGGTACGACCGCGAAGACAGCAGGCCTTCAGCAGTGGAAGGGCGTGGGGTTAAAGGTGCAAGCATGGCTGGTAGCAGCAGCCGCAGTTGCAAGCATCATTGGCCATTGCCGCAGGTAGTAGGGAGTCTGCCCGTGGCAAGTTCAGCTTGGGAGACAACCGCGTGAAGACGTTCCCCCTGAAGCATGATTAGCCAGACAATGGCTATGGCTCAAGCTCACGCGAGCGTTCGCGGTGGACACATGTGACGAAAAGACTGGAACAGATACGTGGACGGCCTCCATGGTTTTCTTGCGTAACGAACCCATACATTCCGCCCACCTTTCCGAACATGAGAGTTCTAAACACATAACTAGTCTGCGACTCATGCAGGCTGCAACGGTCAGTGGTGAGAGAGGAAAGCCACAGGTTCGAAAGGCAAGAGTTTTAGGACCATCGCCAGACTCCTGTGGAGACCTCGTCGCACCAGGGACCATCTTCTCCGGCGGGGGTTCGCTCGATTTATGACCCTCTTATCGACGACAGCAGCTCGATGAAGGCAGCAGGCAATGCTAGCAAGCCACTGGCGAGCCAGATGTCGGAACAAGAGCAGTGCAAATAACACGACCAGGAACTATCGCTTGAACAATAACACGAAGAACAAGACCCACCACCACCACCGCCGCCACCACCACCACCGCCGCCGCCACCACCACCACCACCACCAGCAGCAGCAGCAGCAGGAGGAGGAGGAGGAGTAGTAGTACAACTACTGCTACGGCTACTGCTACTGCTACTTCTGCGACTTCCGCTACTACTTGCTTGTGGTTGTTGTTGTTGTTGTTGTTGCTGCTGCTGCTGTTGCTGTTGTTGCTGTTGCTGCTGCCTCAGTGGTGGTGGTGGTGGTGGTCGTGGTGGTGGTGGTGGTGGTGGTGGTGGGTGTCGTTGTTGTTATGTTGCTGTTGCTGTTGTCGTTGCGGACACTGTTGTCGCTGTCGAGGCCGCGGAAAAGACCTGCACGGCCCCTAGCTGCGACATGTTGCATAATGCACGTGTATTCCAGCGAAGACTTGAGGCCAATGGGGATCGGAACGGCTGGGGAGCAGTTCTGGCCCTAGTGCTGCCCAGCGTCCTTGATTGCGCACTTACTATGCAGTAGTAGTCAGAGCTGCCAGAGCGCCCTGCACGAAGGCCTCCTCTCTAAGATCTAGAATGATCTATGTGGACACATGAACCACTAGCAACATTATACCTCTCAGATTTTCGGATGTGCAAAAGCTCATGCAAAGACTTGTCAGATCTACTTCGTGAAGGCCTTGTCAAGCAACACTCTTCCTCGCAACACGACTATCCCCCAATTGCTGTACGAAGTCTCACCCCAGCGGCTCCTAAGAAGTTCGCTCACTGGACTGTAACTGAGATGGTAACGCTGCAGAATTCTCAAATGTGTACGTCTTTGCTTCGAGTGGTCCTGACGTGAGAGTTCAATTCGCGACGCCTCCAGCAACGAGAAAGCATGCAGTCACGGCCCAACTTTTCTGCCAGCAGATGGCGGCATGTGGGCAGCTGTCAAGCGACCAGCAGCTGCAGGATGGTCGAGATTGGCGTGCAGATAGCCGCTCTCGGCAAGACAGGCACTCCTGGAACATTTGGAAGTTTTGTGCGGCTTTGCTTGATACTGAAGTTCACTTTGTAACCAAGGCGGATGTCACCTGAGATCGGATTGGGGTTCAGGCTTCAAGAAGCTTTATGGAGTGGAAGAGGCAGACGTTCAACATGGCGGGCAGGAACGTAGCAATAAGTTTCATATAGTTTCCATCACAAGATGTACTCGCCTCTGTGCTGCTGTATGGCTCCGTCATGCCATCGGCATGTAGCCACGCTGACCAGACGTCCTCAGTCCTTGGGCTCGGCTGGTAGGCCTGGGACAATGCAGTTGCCTGCTTCGCTTATCCGTGACTCTCTAGGCCGCCATGGTGCTGCCCGCCGAAGGGGCCCAGGATGAGAAGCCGCCCCTCTATGTCGTGACGAAGCCGATTCGAGCTGCGACATGCCTTGAACGGGCTAAGCGGCTAATCGGCTAATCGAAAGACCGCTGCCGAAAGATCTATGGCACCGCTTACACCCAGGAGAAGTGGAAAGACAGGAGGGTGATGCGCAAAGCAAAGAAGCTCGCGGCCAAGGAGGCCGCTAAAATGTAGTGCCTACAGATCCCGACATCCTCACCCAAGCTGCAGTGCACTTGCAGATAGAACGTGCTCGTCGAAAAGAGCAAGGCCTGGAGAGCGACGATGACGAGGCTCGCTGACGGAGCACGCTGATCACACTGCCTCCTTGACACAAACGCAGGTTGTCATGGACGACGGCAAGGACCATGTGCTTGACGGGGGCCCTAAGGTGTCGGCATCGACTAGCACATCGAAGGATCTGTTCTGCAGTTAGGTCGAGCAGGAATTGTGATAGATTGTGCATTGTGCGATGCGGCTTGTGATTGATTCAAGAAAGGAGTCAGAACAGTTGCTTTCAGCTGAGCGTGCGACATATGGCAGGATTACAAGCCGGAACCTGTGGCTGAAGAGCCAGCGGAGACGAAGAAGGGCAGGAAGCGAAAAAAGAAGAAGAAGGCCTGAACCCTGGATGTGCACACGCTCTTCCTTACACGCTCCAAGTTCATCCAACCACCCTCTGAGATGAGATATCTATTTTCCGCTTGAGCGGATTCGATTACAGTGCTGATCGTGTTGATGACGATCGACGGGCTCGTGGTGGTGATGATGATGTTGATGGCAAGGCAGAGAAGGGGTGATCATGGCATTCGAGGTGGCGGTGGTTGTGGTGGCGGTCGCAGGGGCGAAGCAGGTGATGGTGATTGGCGCGGGTCATAGGACCAGAAGGAAAGGGTGGGATAGGGACAGGGATGACAAGCCATTATGCACAAACGCAGCATGGCAGTCCTATGAGTCATATCTTTCAGGCCCAGGAAGATGGAGAGGAGGAGGAGGCCAAGGACGAGGGAAAGTCTGCGGCTGAGGCTCTGGAGCCTCCTGCCAAGAAAAGAGCCTCGTTTGCAATAGGCAACTAGCGTTGCCATGCGGCGCCAAAAGAAGAATAGTCGCCAAGGAAAGAAGAAAAAGAAGAAGGAAAAGGCTAAAGACACGACTGGAGAAACCGCGCAAGACGAGGAGGAGGAGGATGAGGATGAGGATGAGCAAGCCGAGGCGGTCGAGGAGGATGCACCGGAGGGTGATAAAACCGAGGGTCCTCCGGCAGAAGAAGTGCAGCCTCTTGGCCCTTGGATGTTTTTCTTGCAAGGAGCATGCAGTGCACCTGGCCGGAATGAAATTTGATACTAGGTAGCGTGCAGTTGCTTTGCCCAGGAATGCCATCCACAGTTCTGGCTTCTTCAGCGAAACCCGCTTCGATTCTTTAGAGATCTGCGAGCCGCTGAAGAAGGATAATTCGGGCTTTGCTGTTTCATCTGTGCAGCAGACAAAGCCTAATGGTAACAGCGCAGTGCATGGGGTTTGCTGGAAATGACGCTTCAGATGCCTGACACTAACTACGTCTAACTTGAACTAACTATCCTCCTTGCCAACCTCGCCCAAAAGGCTCTCACAGAGCACAACTTTGAGCGCATGACCGAGATCCAAGCGAAGTCGATTCCCCATCTTTTGAAGGGGAAAGACGTTCTTGCAGCAGCGAAGACAGGCAGCGGGAAGACACTTGCATTCTTAGTACCTGCTTGCGATCTGCTGTACAACGTGAAGTTCCTCCCAAGAAATGGAGCTGGTGCGATTGCGATCTCGCCAACGCGGGAGCTCGCAAACCAGATCTATGACGTTCTCAGGAACATCTCGAAGTACATGTCTCAGTCAATTGCGGTTTGCATTGGAGGAATGAATCGGAAACCGGAAGCTGAGAAGCTGGCAAAGGGCGTCAACATACTGGTGGCAACGCCCGGACGTTTACTGGATCACATGCAAAACACCAAAGGTTTCGTGTTTCATAATCTGGTGAACTTGATCATTGACGAAGCGGATCGAATATTGGAGGTCGGCTTCGAGGAGGAGATGAACCTCATTATTAAGATGTTGCCGAAGAAGCGGCAGACATCCCTGTTTTCAGCTACACAGACACGAAAAGTGGCTGATCTTGCCCGGCTCTCCCTCAGCAAACCGGTTTTCGTTGAAGTCAAGACCCAAGACAACGTTTCCACTGTTGCAGGCTTGACTCAAGGCTACGTAGTCTGCCCGGCCAATACCCGGTTTCTGTTGCTCTTCACCTTCCTCAAGAGAAACAAAGACAAGAAGGTCATGGTCTTCATGTCTGCTTGCAATTCTGTCAAGCTCTTTGGCGGCCAGAACACATTAAGGCGGTGTCCAGTCCATGCGAGTTGCCAGCTTGGCTTGCGTGATCCGGACGATGGATTGTTGACATGCCCTCCTGTGTTTCAGTATATATGTTTTCGCGCAGGGATTTTGCGACGTAAACCAGCCTGCTAACTCTCAGGTTCCATGACGAGCTGCTGAACTACATCGACCTTCCTGTAAACTGCATACATGGTCACAAGAAGCAGTCTGCAAGGAGTTCGACGTGCCCCAGCATGAAAGGGTTGAGACCGCAACTCCCCTCTCGCTCTCTCGCTCGCTCTCTCCCTCCCTCTCCCTTATCGGCCCAGGTACTACCAGTTTTGTGCCGCCGATACGGGAATCCTTCTTTGCACAGACGTCGCAGCGCGCGGCCTGGACATCCCGAAGGTGGACTGGATAGTGCAGCATCTTGGGCTTAACGACATGGCACGAGAAGAGCAAGAACGGCGTTAGTTCTTTCAAGAGAAGCCCCGACATCAGAAGCACCTGGGTCCTAGTCTCACACTTTCGTGGCGACAGGACAGCAAACGTTGCACTGCATTTTCGACTTACTTCACGCTCATTGGAGGAAGAAGAAAAAGGAACAATGACAGAGAGAGAGAGAGAGAGTGCCTGGACCATACTGAGACCTTTTAGTGGGGGTTCGCCTGCCAGTGCACCGTGTTTCCAGACGAGTCATGAGCGTGACTGTGCAATGCCGTTTTGACGCATATGTAGCATGACAAGCTGGGCCGGGACCCTTACAGGTGATTGCGCGATTTGTCAGTTACTGCTACATGTGGGATATCCATGGGTTGTGTTTGCTTCGATTCGAGAGTGAACTTGCGCACAGAAGTTTACTAGCCTTGTTCTTGCCTTCGGAGGGGAGTCGTCGAGGCCTGCTTGTCCCGCTACCCCCCGGGGAAAACGCCTCAGCGGAGCGCAAAGAAACCTACCCGTGGAACGCAGGTGCCCGCGCGCGAGCGCGAGGTTCGGGGTCCGACTAACCGTGCGCCTCCAGTCTCGCAGAGATGCGAGTGTGCATGGCAGTCGCCTTGCTTTTCACGAGATGAGGCCTGGGGGGTTGTAGGCCTAGGTTTAGGGGGTCAAGAGTTGCAGTACAGCAGGCCTCATCTAACAAAGCAGCAGAACCGACGACAGCGGCGGGGCGCGCGCACGCGCGCGGGAGGGGGCGTCTGCTTTCTCCTTGACTGTGCGGAAGAGAGCGCACTCTTCTACCTACTGTGTGCATTGTCATCGAAGGTACGATCCGCCAGATGAGCCGAAGGAGTCGGCATGGGTCATACATTGGAGCTGCGTTTTCCATGGTTCTTCATATCTGCAACACCAGAAATCGCGCACACAAAGGCAGAACCGTGAAGAAGTCGAGCTTGGCCTGTCAGGAGTACATCCACAGAGTTGGGCGTACTGCCCGTGGGGCTTCTGGTAAGGGCAAGGCCTTGCTCTTCCTCATGCCTGAGGAGACTGGCAGTCTGCATTCGAGAGAGAGAGAAGTGCGGCGTCAGGGCTCTTGGAGATGTTTGTGAGAGTCATGGGAGTCAACCCTAGGAGCTTGGCTTTCTGCATTATTTGCGCCGCGCCGGCGTTCCTGTGGCCGAGTACAGCTTCCCCTCAAGCAAAGTGGCAGCTTGGCTGTGCGACTAGGTGACGCAGGTGGCGTGCATTGCGGTTGGTTTCACTCAGGCGAACATTCAATCGCAATTGGAGCATCCCGTTTGCATCCCTAGTGCCGTATTGCATGATCCGCAGTGCAGATTTCTCTTCGCTGTCAGGCGCGTCATCGAAAAAAACTACCACCTTCACAGGAGTTCGAGGGATGCGTACAGGTCGTATATGCATGCGTATGCGGCTCACAGTCACAAAGACTGCTTCGATGTGCACAAGCTAGACCTTGCCCAGGTTGCAAAAGCATTTGGCTTTGCGCACCCTCCCAAAGTGGAGTTGAACCTCAAGCACACAGCCAGGAAAAAGGCAACAGGCACCAAGGGAACCCTGAAGAAACAGCTCTCGGCAAAGTCCTCCGGGCACCAGTTCTCAGCGGACAACCCGTATGGAAAGCGGGATGCCGGCGACAAGAGGCAGTTCAGCCGATGAGTCAGGCTGCCCTCAAGGTGTGCTTTTCGGCTGTTGAAAGTCGGGGATGACATGATGGCACACTTAAAGAGCCGATGCAACTCGCACAATCAACAAACGTATTCGGGTTCCAGGCATGTCATCCTCTTTGCCGGTGTGAGTGCAGCAGTGGTAGCTGGAGCAGATCACTCAGCCTCCACGCTCCTGTTGCACTCCCATCGAGGAAGGCCATCACCACATGCCCCGAAACCGCTAAAGACTAAAGATGCACCGGCATCGACACACTCCGACCGGACATGGGAGTGCACCAGGGGAGCTACCTAACGGGTGGTTGCCCAAGGCACCAGCTGAATTCTTAGCAAAAAGATGAAGGGTTAATCACACGTCTAGAGTGTGTCCTGCTCAGAGATTCTGCTCCAGATCCGTTTTCGGCTTCCGGACCTTGTCTCAGCAACAGAAGTGGCCCAGATTCTCCAGGCACAAGGCGTGGCCAGATGCCCGCAGAAGAAGGGGCGACAGTCGTGCGGCACTCAAGCGCCGCCGACACTGCCAAATAGCTGGTTCGCTGTGCTACAGTCTGAGGTCCCAATTCTTCGGACAAATGGTGGGCTGAAGGACGCAAAGAGCATACCTCTTTGCTGAGGGGGAGTAGTTGGCTCTTTTCAGGATCGAGCGCTTAAGTTGACCGTCGCTGGAGCGACGGCGATATAATTAGTTATGGGCGTAATGAGTTTTGTTGCACTTGCGAACAGTGTCGTCGACTTCATCAAACGGCAAGCGCCCGTAACCTGGAACTTGCATCCTGGGTCTAAATTTCCCACGCCCTAGCTCTCGCAACTGTTGCAGCGACCTTACAACTGTAAGCCCTTCGTTCGACAGGGGCAAGAGCTCAAAGCCTGTACTTGTACATGTTTGTCTGGGATTTGCGCCCTGCAACGATGCGGCATAGTCGCCGGCGCACAGAGTCCAGAACAAGAGCATGAGTTGTCATGCCAGACACACCATTCTCAGATGCGCGAATTGCTAGGAGAACGGCCGCCGGGACGGCGTGCTTCGAGGCGGGTGTTGCGACCCGTCGTTGAGAACGGTGCAAGGTTTGATCTGATTCAGTTTCAGTGCCGCTGTGCAATTCTTGCTGGAAGCTTGCAGCCTTCAGCAGCAGATTCTCTTTCGATCGCCGTGGATTATCTGCAATAGCGAATCATGGAGGCCTGCTCGCTCCTGGCGGAGTGGAAGCGCGTCACGCAGCCGCAGCCGCAGCGCAACCGTTCCCAAGGCCGCTGCCTTGAGATTCCCAGCCTCATGCTGTATTGGCGAACAACATCGCAAGCTTTCCACACTAGTGATGAAGAGCAACCCGACTGCAGAACTTAATGCTGCCGCCACGACACCGCGGCGGGGGCAATGACGATGGTGGCGACATACCTAACAAGCAACGCATGGGCAACACATAGACTCGCCTGGTAGTGATTGTAGCACGAGCAGCTTTAGAGGGTCTACAAGCAAGAGGAGATGATCTTTTTCTCGTGTACGCCAGGATGGTTATGGCTATGGCTACGGGCACAGCCGCAACAAAGGCTCGCACTTGTGCTGACTTCCGGGCTAGGCATATTCAGGCCCCGACCCTCGAATTCGTGCCCTGCCGTGGAATGTCAGGCTTTTCGTTTATCAGGGTCTGCTCCTAACCCCAAGCTCATGCCTGGTACTTGTAGAAGCCGAGCAGATGTTTCAGCCACCGGAGAGGCGGTACAGGCGCCACAGAAGTCCTGAAGCTACCATGGGCTCCTTCGTACACATCTTGGTGCAAATGCTACCCAAGACAAACCTTCGCCCCGATCCGGAAAGCCGTCCAAGCGCCTGTGATCGTTGTGATTGCCATTGCTACGGCGCTATGACACAGGTTTGCGAGCCCCGGCGCCCGCAGAGGTGCAAATAGCGCCGAAGGCTTCCGGCAGGGGTTCCCCGATCCTCCAACCCTACCAGGCCCTCAGGCCGTACCAGCACCGCACGGTGAAATGGCAGCTGCACATTATCAACACGCACACACATATACATGCATGTATATATATATAATATACACAGACATATGTATGTATGTGTGTATGTACGTACGCACGTAGGTAGGTAAGGTAGGCAGGTGTAGGCCGGGTAGGCAGGTAGGTAGGTATGTATAGATGCGTATTGTTACGCATGTTTAAGTCAAAAATGTACGTGTCCACATAGTCAGGGGTGTGTGTGTGTGTGTGTCTGGTGTGCACGGGTATACCCACTGTTTGTTGGGTCGTTCTCGTTTGGTGTATGTGCTCTCTGCAGTATATGCATGAGTTTGTGTACATGGTTTGCCACGTGTACTGGTGCGGAGTGGTGTATTTACCAAAGCGGTTCCTGCATTACATGCATAGTGTACAGGGCTTTTTTGTGCATCTATGGCTGTCTGCATGCAATACCTCAAGCATGGCACACCCTCGCACTTCGCACGCACAGACTGTTCCACAGCTCGTAATCTGCAGAGCTGGCCGTTACCTTGGTATTGCCTGGTTCACATCGCCAGCTTTGCAAGACTCGGGGCTTGTGCCTTGGCGCTGCATGTTCACAGGTAGCAGCGGGAGCGGAACTGTACAATTGTAATTGGTCTGAGCCGGGGTTGTCACTTGGCTGTTTTGCATTGAGGGGCCGAGTTCCCAAGCGCTTCCAACGGCTTCAGGCGGCCAATGGACAAAAGCAAAAGCGAACGGTTCCCAGACCGAAGAAGAGACTCAAGAAGTCTGCAAAGCCTGGACCAGGACGGAACGGTTCGGACATGGGTGTAGCGACTGCTGTGGCTATGTGATGCCCTTTGTGCCTTCGATAGGCTTGAGGATCTCAGGCTCAGAATTTCAGATCCTGGGCCGTGACCCTGAGGACCTGGCGCTGGGGTCGCCGCTGGCCGAGCACCCAGCCGTGCTTTGCTTTCAAAGGCTGCGGCGGAAGGGCAAAAAGCGGCGGTCGCGACCTGGCCCGAGGCCCCAAAGGTGGCGAAGAGCACGTCGTGGAGCGCGAAGCCCAGTTCGGCAGTAAGTTTATTTAGCCTTCCCCACTGCAGCCCGGCCAGCTTCCCCAAAAAAGCTTGCTGTTTCATAATGAATTGGAACATTTTCTTCGAGTCTCAGTCTTTATCCAATTTCGAGTCGAGAGGTACCCAGCTGTGAGAGCTCTAGAGTCTCTCAAGAGTCTAGAGAGCGAGGACGGAGTGAGGGGGTCTTTCCGGTCCGATGAATGTGTTTGTCCCACAGCTGTGCTGTGCAAATGTCCGTGAAGCTCTTTTGCTGATCGGATGTTCAAGGGGTTGTCTTTCAATGTGTGAAGGGGTGAGCTATGCCGGTGCGGGCAACCGGCATGAATGCGAGCGAAGTTCAGTTGCATTATCATCCTGAGTCTTGGGGGATGAGTGCTCAACCCAGAAGTCACGCCGTTCCGACATCAGAAAATGGGCCATTACAGTTCATTGTGGAACCCAGCTGCGTCAGTTTCTGGTTTTCCTCAGTTTCTGCCCTCAGAATAAGCAGTCTTTGGGTTTGGTGCCAGTCCCAATCGCCTGCCGTTTTGCACAACAGATTGTGGATGCTTCAGGGACGGCGAGCTTCCAACGCTGCAACATGACCCTTATCAGCTGCAGCTTGGCTGAAGCGAGAAGAGGATGCAGTCGGAGATGCATACGTGCAGTTACAGCCGCTAGCCGAGGCTCGATCCAACAGATCCGATCCTGCCACCAAAGGCCAACGTCGTAGCACTCCGGGCTAGGTCCAGTTGACTGTGGGTCCTTGTCCTTTTAGCCGGAGAGCTGCGTATCAGTCAGCAGTCAGCATGAGCATCACCTGCAACACCGGCACACGTCTGGTCGTTCCTGTCCTTGTGTGCATGTCATGGTACTGCAGCCGCCTGGTCAAGCTTGGCACTGCTCGGCTGCAGCATTGCGATTCATCTCCCGCCGTTGACAAGAAGATGACACAAAGAGCTGGAGGACACCACAGCTGCTGTACTGTAGCTCGAGCACAGCAGGGCAACGAATGTCCCAGCCAGAAACACATTCTCGGCTGGAACCCTTCGGCAGCACCAGCTTTTACTAGCCCACCAGAACAGGGGAGCCAACGGGCCATGGATGATCTGGGAAACTTCCAGCTCCAGTTGCAGGCAAGGCTTCTAAAGACATGCCTTCACAGATTGTTGGCCACATATCGATTTGGCATGGAAAACTATGGCCGCTAAATATGTAAACCCCGTGTACACGTACCCTATTCCTTTGAAGGCTAGCGGCTAGGAGGAGGTAGTGACCGTGGTGTCATGAGCCCTGTGCCAAGATTTTGCCCTCAGGCGTTGTTCCGTGTCTCGAGTCTTGGTCCAGTTTCTTGAACTCATAAGTTTCGGGGGGGCAGGCCGTGTGGGTGTAGCGCGTTAAAATGATGTGGCTGGGTTTGGACACATCCAGAGGTTTGAAGACTGCCGACAGAACCGAAAAGTGTCAAGCGGGACACAGCAGATATTTTTCAGATTTTTCAGATCTGCTATGCCCATTTAAATACCGCGGAACTATTCTCCAAATTCTGCAAAAACAGCCAACCTGCTGAGATGCTCAGGGGGCCTGGAATCGTCAAAGCCCCTCAAATCGCTGAAGCCGAGGTTTCAAATTTCAAATAGTGTATTTAAGCAGTACCGCTTGATCCTGATGCTCAGGGTGGAGATTTCTTGTAAGATGAAAGCCCCATGTAAAACACGAAGCATCCGGAAAAGCAAAGACAGCGCAAGCCGAGCAGCGCAGGTCTTTGCCGCCTCGGTTCCGGGCCTTGCAGAAACTCCGCTTGGCTCATGGGCCGAGCAAAGGCCGAGCGTGGAGATCTGCCTGGGCCGCTCAGCGCTGGCCTTGAGCACGGGGGCTCTCGGATGTTGGTCAATGCCGGTCTTCTTGCTCCAAATTGCCAGGACCAGGTTCTACGACCACTGCTGCTGCTGCTGCTGCTCCTGCTGCTGCTGCTGCTGCTGCTACTGCTACTGCTCCAACTACTGCTGATACTGCTCCTGCTGCCGTCGTGAGTAGTCAAGACCACGCAGTGCTGACATCGTCGTGCCAGGTGGGCGACAAAAACTGCTCCTGCTGCCTGTATTGCAGCTGCTACTACTGCCACTGCCACTGCTACT